TAGAGTGGCAGCCAGGAGCCATCTGGAGCCACCTCTCTGCCTGTTCCTCCCAAGAGGCCAGGGTGGCCAGGGGTGGTGAGTGGTGAGGGTAATTCTGCACCCAGCCAAACACATAACAATAAAAACCAAACTCTGTGTCAGTGGCTTTGCCCTTCTGGTTTAAACACCTCCTTCATAAAGCAATCTGGAAGAAAGCCCTGTGCTTTGGAAGAAAGAACGTGTGTGCAGAATTCTAGGCAGCACCTTAGGGAGGGACTGGGATGAGCGAAAGGGGGACCTGGTGGGCTCAACCACACACACCTGTCTGTGTAGATGCCTTGCCTGGGCTTCTGCTCACCACGGTGTACCAGGATATAAAGCACTTTCCCCAGCCTGGGTTTACTCATTGTCTGATCTTACCCATTTTCTGGGTGTGCCTCATTCATAGGTGCTTCTTGGGATGACTGTGGGAACGCTGGTGCTAAGCACAGGCGCTGACATTTCCCTTGATGTTCAGTGATCCTGGCCAGCCCCAGAAATGCCTGCGCGGCAATCGGGCAGTATGGGAGCGGCATGAGGAGCGCTGACCCCCACAGCACCTGCACTCCCCCATAGCTTCAGCCCCTCCCCACCCCGCCCCCTGGGGTGGAAAGTTCCTACACTCATGTTCCGGCAGAAGCAGTGCCCAGTCTGGGTAAACAGCGCTGGGGCTGACTGGGTCTGGCAGAAAGATCCACGCTGTGTGTGTGTGGAATTGTAATTCCAGTCCCATCACATTCTGCATTCTAAACTGTCAGATATTACCAGTTACCCCTGCCTCTGCTCTGTTACTTCAAGTATGTCCCTGGTCCCAGCTCTGTAGCTGGGACTGGCAGGCAGAGAGATCAGCTCTGGCTCTGCTTAGTCACTAGGAAGCCAGACCCTAAAACCAAGTCACCTCTGACTTGGGGTTTTCAGATGACCAGAGTACGGAGCTGATCCCTTGCACCAAAGCCATTAATAGGCTTCCAAATTTGGTCTGAGAGCCTGAGGCTGGCATTCTGCCAATGCAGGAAGCTAAGCTTGGGCCCTGGCTGGTGGCATTCAGCTTTGAGCCTGGGTCTTTCCCTTCAGTAACACCAGGTAGTTGTGAATTATGTTGAAACTAGTGGGAGCTGGAGGGGTTCTTGTAGGGTAGGGAGGAGCTGGCAACGGCCTTGCAGAAGGGAATGAAGGCTGCCACCAGCCACCTCCGCAGACATGGGAATGGCCACACGCACACATCATTCCTCCATCAGTCCTCTCCTGCCTGAAGGCATATACACTGCCCATGGGTCCCCATGGCCTTGTTTTCAAAAGAAGAAAGCAGCTGGCACCCAGAATGCCACTTGTACTAGTCTTCAGCAGTCTAGCATTTATTTCACTAGTCCTTGAGGATTCTTTAAATGATCTGCAAGAAAACCAAATGTCCCCACATCACAGGTTTTGTGCTCTACTCTCTGACCACTTCTCTGAGCTGAGGCAGCCTGGAGTATGGGCACCAGCATGGCTTAGCTACTCTTAAGATAAAAAGTAGAGGAAATAAATAGGTAGACTAGGTAAGGCAGAAGAGAAGGCTGGCACCTTGGACCCTGACACTAGTGGGCACCCTATGGTTCTGGGTGAGATGGAGGGCACAGGGGTAGGGTGGGGTGTGTGGTTGGACACAATGACCAGAGCTCTGGGTACCAAGCAGATCCCCATGTTTGAGATTCAAGGGCACAAAGGCCTGCTCTGAAGCACGTGAACAAGTGCAGGACTGAGCTCCAGGACCACGCTCTCCCAAGTGTACCCTCCTGTGCCAGTGACAGGGAAAAACACCAAAAATCATATTGTCAGAGCCAAATGATGGGAACAAGAGGTTGGCAGAATTGGGGGTGGTTGACTACCACTTGTTTCTAGAATCAAGGAGAAGCTGACCTAAATCGACCTGCTCTTCCACGGAGACAGTATTCTGAGACTGAACCCACCTGACGGATGGATAACTAGTTGCAGTAAAGTCAGAGGGGAAGCCAGGGTGCTAGAGCCATCTGGGCAGTGTCTGGCTTCCTAACTAGATAAGTGGGTCGGGTCAATAGCAGAGCTGTGCTCTTCCAAAGCCGTCACCCATGAACCAGGACCCACAGGTGGAGCTTCTGAGGTGCCATGGCTTCGGCTTGTACACGACTCACCTGTGTGCAGGGCCAGGCCCCCCCAACCGCAGTGGAGCAGAGGGGGAAAGGAAAGGCATCCCAGAGACACAGACATCTACACCCTCACTCTGGGGCAGCTTTAGGCCAAAAGCCCACAGAGCACAAAGGAGAGTGGGCACTTGGGAAATTTGTGCTTAAATTACCAGCCATCTTGTCTCTAAACAGAGCCTACAGGCTTGAGCAGTGGAAGTCATTTGTGAAGGTCTATAGCAGGGCATGAGGAGGTGTTAGGTCACCCTGAAGGCCAGCTTTTGACCCCATTGTGGGAATCACAGCAAATGCCTTACTGGGCTCAGGTACACAGTGGTGCCCCCAGCCCCTTTCCCATGTATTCTGCACACTCAAAGGCAAGCTGTCCCGTGCAGGGGTCTGAGCCCAGAGGATCACATTTCCACGTGCATCTCCCCTGGATCCACCCAGTGGCTGCCGAGCAGTCTGTCTCGACATCGATCCTCCCTGCAGGCAGCACCTGCTCCTCCCAAGTGCTGTCCCTGGGGCCCCCATGCCAGCATTCCAGCTGTGTAGCTCCAACTGGGCAGTTCAGATCTTGGGCCTCCAGCCTTTGATGAACTGCATGATCTTCTTGACCTGCAGCTTGGTGAGGTGGAAGTCATCTGCCAGGATGTCCTCACTGAGCTGCACGAAGATGCTACCATCGATGCGTTCTCGGGCAAAGAAGCTCACGACATCCTCTGAGAGCCCGATGAAACGCAGACTGCGAGAGACCTCCTCCAGGGAGAGCGCAGACAGGTCAGCAGGGGGCTGCCAGGAGGAGGCATCCCGGACTCCAAAGCCTGTGGCTCCATCCCGGGGACTGGAAGGAGGCCCTTCCAGGCGCCCTTGGGTTAGAAAAAGTCGTCCTCCTCCTGCCTCAGGTCCCTGCAGAGCAGCTGGTGACAGTGGGGTGGGGACCTGGCGCAGCACCAAACCTTCAGGCTCAAAGGCCTTGGGGGGGCCAAGTGGGGAAAGGCGGGGTCCAGGCCCAGGTGTCCCCACTGCTCTGGGCTCCTGAGAACGCAGCAGCTCAGGCTCTGGAGAACTGCCCTGCCCCAGCTCAAAGGGATCGAAGGGCTCCAGGGCTGGGTCCTGCCATTCAGAAGAGGAGGAGGAGGAGGGGGCGCAGGAGGCGGGGGGAGCAGCTGAATAGGCCTGGCCTGGCGAGGCCGGGCCTGGGGAATATGCAGGGCCAGAGGTAGCCACAGGACCCAAGGTGGTTGTGGGGCCAGAAGAGGAGGCCGCTGAAGGGCCTGAGGGGTAGGCAGGCCCGGAAAAAGGGTTGAGAGCTCCGAATGGAGCAAAGCGCTTCTGGGGGTGTGAGGGCTTGAATAGAGGAGGGCAGCTGTGGTAGGTCTTAACAGGGGTGTCAGCCCCCAGAAGGGAGGCGGCTCGACCGCTCAGAGGCTCTGTGAGGGCCCGGGAGGCCTGGCTGGGCTGTGTGGTTGAGGGTAGGGGTCCGGGGGCTGGGCGGCTAGAGGATTCGCCCACCTTGCAGTCTCCCCAGGTGCATGGGTAGCAATAGAGAGAGTACGTGTCCGGTGATGGGGAGCCACTGCCACTGCGGGAACCCACCCTGTGGACACAGACAGACACACACACATAGGACAGGTGAGGCTGAGCGGGAGGGAACATGACAGGGTCACACATGCAATGCAGCCAAGCACCACCGTGACCTCAGCAACACGGGCCTGCACCCCAGCCCCAGTCCAAGACCCCCCGGAATGGCCCTGTTCTTCCTTCCAGCATCCCCCAGCCCAGGTCAGAAAACATAGGGGAAAAACCAAATGAAACTGAACTTAATAAAAATTTCTTTTTTTTTCTTTTAAGATGGAGTCTCGCTTTGTCGCCCAGGCTGGAGTGCGGTGGTGCAGTCTTGGCTCACTGCAACCTCCGCCTCCCAGGTTCAATCGATTCTCCTGCTTCAGCCTCCTGAGTAGCTGGGATTATAGGCACGTGCCATGATGCCCGGCTAATTTTTGTATTTTAGAAGACATGGAGTTTCACCATGTTAGCCAGGCTGGTCTTGAACTCCTGACCTCAAGTGATTCAACCCAACTCGGCCTCCCAAAGTGCTGAGATTACAGGCATGAGCCACCGTGCCCAGCCTAAACCTAATAAATATTTCAAAACAGCAAGGAGCTCTCTTCCCTCTATCCTGCAGCCAAGTCCCCATCTTGAGGGGACCAGGGCAATGTTCCCATCTGTTCCTCAACATTTAAGAGAGAAAGAAGCTGGAGTGGGCAGAACAGGCCACTGGGCCCCAGGTCCCAAGACACCCAGACACCCGTGCCCCTCCCTCAGCCACTGCACATGGACCTGCACCCTCGGAACTTCCCAGGCCTGAACAGTTTCTCTTCCTCAGCACCATAGTCCCCCCTCCTCACCCTTCCCTGCCTCGATCTACCTTAGAACTGAGGACCAAGGGAAGGCAGGGACTCACCCATCCTGGAGGCCAGAGGAGTAGTAGGAGAGGCTGGAGCTGGGGGAATGTACCGGCTGCAGCTTGGGGAAGCGAGGGGGAACCGGGGGGCTGCCGGAGAGCCGGCCGCTGCCATTGCCACCCCGGGGAGGCACTGGAGGGGCGTTGAGCAGGCGGCACTCCTCCTTCACCTACAAGCAGAGGGCGGTGACTCCACCTCGACTCCAAACAGCTGGCACTCCTTATCTTCCCCTTCCCAGGCGGTGACTCCACCTCGACTCCAAACAGCTGGCACTCATCTTCCCCTTCCCAGGCGGTGACTCCACCTCGACTCCAAACAGCTGGCACTCCTTATCTTCCCCTTCCCAAGCAGCTGGGCAAGGGGGCTGTCTGGGCCTGACACTTGCCCCACTTTGCCAATAGGCTGCCTTGCACCCCAACTGCTCATCCAGTCAGCCAGCCACCTAACCCTTCCTAGCCTATCTCACGCACCCACACCCTGTCCCAACGCACGCACAGCCTCCTTCCTGTTCCTTGGAAACCCATTATGAATGTTAAGAAAAAGAATACAGAGGTAGATCAAAACAGGTTAAGCAGACGTGCTCTCTCCTCAAGGAAAAGGAGAGAAAGCAGAGGACAAAGGAAGGCCGAGGGAACCGAGGTAAGGAAGCGTCTGCCACCTGCATCCCTCCCTACAGGTCGCGTACCCCAAAGAGGACTCCATGGGATGCTGACGGGTGTTACGGGCAGGGAGAAAACGTTCTGATAAACAGGATTCCTTAGTGCAGGACTTCTCAGAGCTTTTAATATACCAATGCTCTGTGACTCCAACACAAGGAGGAGGGAAAAAGGGCTGGCAATCACTCACAGCATCTCTAAGCTTACTTCGCCAAGGAAACTTCTTTTCACGGAACAACTTAAAGGACCCCTGTTCTGTGGAACCTTCTGGGTAACAGTGTTTCGGGGCTTCTCTCAAATCCTCTGAGGCTGGGGACCTACACGCCTCTCTGTCCCACAGCTCCCCCGCCACCGTCCGCCCCAGTGCCCCTTACTACAAATGCTCTTGCCTGGCATGGCTCTGCCCTTTCCTTCTCCCCTTCCCCACCCCGCCACCTCATCTGCCACATACTCCTGGGCCGGGGCTCAGGAGAGAGGGCTTTGGGCCCTGGCTGGACCCGGGACTCGTCCCCCAGCGCGCTCACTCACCGCCTCCGATTTGGGAGGGACTGGGGGCGGCGGCGCCTCCGGCTCCCGACGCGGCGGTCCCGCGGTCCCGAAGGAGATGAGGTCGGGCCCCGGGGGCGGCCGGGCGAGGCCCTCGGGCCCCTGGTGAGCCCACAGCTCCTCGTACGGGATCTCGGCGGGCGGCGCGACGGGCTCGGGCGCGGCTGCCCAGTCGGGGCTCACGTACTCCTGGTCGCCCTCGCCGGCAGGAGTGGGCGCTAGCGGGCCGGGGGCGCGGGCGAGCCCGGGGACGCGCGGCGCGGGCAGGCAGAGGCGCGCGCGGCGCGGGCTGGCGCAGTCTTCGGCGAGCTCGGCAGGCGCCTCGCGCACGGCCGTGGAGTACTCGTCGGGGTCGAAGCGCTCGCGGCAGTAGGAGGCGCTGTCGCGCACCAGGCGCTCGACGCGCGGGTCCCCGGCCAGCAGGCCCTGCGGCAGCGCGAAGCGCGGCGTGTCCGTGAGCAGCAGGAAGTGCAGCGGCGCCGGGCCCTCGCGGCGCAGCGCCAGCCCGAGCACCACCGTCTTGGAGATGATGCTAACCAGCTTATAGCAGTGACCCTCCCGCACCGGGTGCAGGTCGTAGGGGTTGCGCGGCGGCCGGCTGGGCACCAGCACGTTCACCGGTAGCCGCACGCGCTCGATGATGGCGCGCACCGTGTGCTCGCCCTCCTGCATCTGCAGCTCCAGCGGGCTGCGAGTGCTGAAGCGGCCCTGGCACTGGAAGGGTAGGCTCAGGCTCTCGTTGGTGCGGTGGTTCATGCAGATGAGGCAGGGCATCTTGCCTTTGACCGGCCTGGCGCCCCCGCCGCCGCTGCCTCCCGCGGCCCCCGCGCTCGCCGGGCCGCCACCTCCCACCCCGGTAAGCGCACCGGCCCGGCCCAGCTTTCGCAGGAGGGTGGTGAAGCGCGAGCGCTCCTTGGTGGTCTTGGCGCACAGGATCTCCGCCTGGCCCATAAGAGTAAGCTCGTCGCCCGCATGCAGCGTGAAGTTGTACACCTCGCTGTCCTCGCTGAACTCGCCCGACACCACCTGGGGATCCCAGAGACAGGGCAGGGCCTTAGCCAGGTCCCAGGGAAAGCCACGCGGCCAGCTCCCAGAGACTGGAAAGGGAAAACAGCCTTCCTCTTCCGCCCTCCCAGGGCTCGGACCAGATGGAAAGCATTGGGCTGTAGGCCAAGAGATCCACGTTCATCCTGGAGAGACGACTAGCAGCTGTGCCACCTTAAATGAGTTGCCCCTCCACGCCTTAGCGACCATATCTGATAACTCTTACTTCGAAGAACTGCTGTATTAAAAAGACTGTATGTGCAGTAACATATTTTTCTTTTCTTCTCCGCTACTTGGATCAGCAACGTATTTTAAAGTATACAGTAAATGGCGACTTTTATTATCATTGTCTTTACCATTTTCGAGATCATAATGCCCTGCCCATCCAACAAGGCTACGTGAAGAGAAATGAATTGATGGATAAGAAAAGGGTTTGTAAACAGAACAGCACTATCTGTACACAGCAGGGACTGTTTTTAGTTTGTTTTTTTTGTTTGTTTTTGTTTTTGTTTTTAGAGACAGGGTCTTGCTCTGTCGCCCAGGTTGGAGGGCAGTGGCACATTCACAGCTCAGTGCAGCCTCAAACTCCTGGCAACAGTCCTCCTGCCTCAGCCTCCCAAGTAGCTAGGACTATAGATGTGCACCACCATGCCCAGTTAATTTTTTAACATTTTTTGTAGAGACAGGGTCTCTCCATGTTGCCCGATTCTGGCCTCAATCGATCCTCCCTCCTTAGCCTCCCAAAGTGTTGGGATTAGAGGCATGAGCCACTGCTCCCACCCCACAGCAGGGGTCTATTTACACTGCCTGCTTACCACAACCACCACCTCTACAAGTGGGTGCTGGGGCAGCTAGGGACAGGTTGCCCTGAAAAGTCTCCAAGTCAGAACATGACCCTTCCAGACACCCCTTCCTTCTTCACTACCTTTCGCAGGAAGTCCTTCAGCCCAGTGGGTCCTATTCCCCACTCTTCTGACATGGCTCAATTGTGCCAAAGGCCCCTAAGGGGTCCCCAGGAGCCACTCTCCTTCTTGGATCCTGAGGGCAACCTTCCAACCAGGGTCAGGGTTGCCCCTGAGGCAAGGAGTAGTGTGGGGACACCACACCTGGTGACAAAGTGACTGACCTTGACGCTGAAGGTGATGGCTTCCATCACGAAGATGCGGTCAGGGAAGACACTGGCCACCTCCTCCACGCTGCTGAAGTACCTCACTGGCTCCCGCACATCCCGGGCCTGTTCCAGGAGCTTGAACTTCCCTGCATAGTGGGTGACAAAAGTTGCTGGAGTGAGCCTGCCTGCATCCCAAGAGGCTTCGTGGTCCCCTGCTAGCATAATCTCAGCTAGTCCCTCAGGAACTAAGGAAGGCCAAAGGGCAGGTTTCCACTGGCATGGGCTGAAGGGGGCTGGTCATCTGGCTCCAACTTCAGCAAGGTGAGCACAGATCCCTAGCATCTACAGCCCAGCCCTCACCCCAGAGACAGCCTGTGGGTATGCAGCGAGGCAGCGGCTGCCTGCCCAGAGAACCCAATTGCAAATAGCCCCAAACATGTGGACACAGAGCTGGCCTCTGATCAACTATCGGTGTGGTACCAGGATGCTGGCTCCTTGCTCGGTCCCAGCCTGACCTCTGATTTGCCGTGACAAGTTCCTTTCCCTCTCTGGGCCTCTGGGTCCTCATCTGAGGGGGTGGGGACAGATGATTGTGGGCCCTACCTGGATCTGGCATCCTGTGCTTCGCCCTGGGCTGCTCATCCGCATGGAAGTGGCACTGGGCCAATGAGGGCCTGGAGCAGCCCTTGAAGGCTCTGGGAGAGCCACTCTGACCCCAGCTCTGTTCCCACACCCTGCCCTCCTCCGATATCCAGTCCTACTCTCCCAGAGGCTCTGACCTGAACCCAGCAAAGCCACCTACCTCCCTGAGAGGAGGCCTTCCCAACCTGCAGTCTGGGGCTGTGTGCTTTGCCAAGCTCAGCACATGCCCCTAGGAGACACAGACTTTACAGAAGTGATTGCCAGTCTGTGAAGCTGCCATCCCTGTGTAAGCTACCTCACCTCACCTTTTCTATGCATACCCACAGGAGCACAAAGACAAGCTCTGAGCCGCCCTGGCATCCGATGGATGGCCTTTTCTCAGGCTTTATACAGTAGGAAGAGAGCCGTGAATAGGTGAGGGAACAAGTCGAGAGAAGACAAGGTGACTCTTTAGCCTCTGGGTGTTTTTGCTTTTTGAGACAGGGTCTTGCTTTGTCACCCAGGGTGGAGTACAGTGGCATGATCACAACTCACTGCAGCTTTGACCTCCTGGGCTCAAGGGATCCTCCTGCCTCAGCCTCTCAAGTAGCTGGGACCACAGGCATGTGCCACTATGCCTGGCTAACTTTTTATTTCTATTAAAGATGAGGTCTCATGATGTTGCCCAGGCTGGTCTCAAACTCCTGGGCTCAAGCGATCCTCCTACTATGGTCTCCCAAAGCGCTGGGATTACAGGTGTGAGCCACCGTGCTGGGCCTTCTTTAGCTTCTGAAGCCCCCTTGGTAGTTGCTTCTGTCACAGTTCATTCATTTAATCATTGCACAGATATTGATGGAGCACTCACTATGTGTCAGACTATGGTAGGCCACACACAGGGTACAAATCTGTGTAAAATACAGTCTGCCCTTAAAGAAATCCAGATATAGTGGGTGAGACAATGAGTACCCAATGATGGTAGGATGTGATAAGTGCTACAACAGACTTGTGATAAAAGAGTTAGAAGACAGCTGGGTAGGAGAAACCTGCCTGGCGGAATCTGAGAGATCACTGAGCTGCACCTTAAGAATGAAAGGGAATTCACAGAATGAGCATTCCCTGTGGAAGAAACAGTTTAAACAAAGACACAGAGACATAAAATCAGACCACCTGCCCCAGATGGTGTGTGCCTGCAGGGAAGGACTTAGGGAGAGGGAGGACAGGAGGGGATGCAGACAGCAACTGGGATTTGAGAGGCTCTGAATGCCTTGCTTAAAGCGGTGAGACTATTCTGTACAACATGAGACCCACTGGAGTGTTTCGAGCAAAGAAATACCATGATCCAGGTTCAGCTCTATTAAAATAACCAAGAGACTAGTCAGGTAAACGAACCAGTAAGGGGTTCTAGAGAAGAGCTAGGGAATAGCAGAAACAGACCAAGAGACACTGGGAAGGGAGACCCAGCAGGCTTGGGTGACTGAATAAGGGGCAGTTGGGGAAGGAAGGGACTCAGGATGATGTACTCAGGCCACCAGCCTGGTCAGAAATGGAGATGGCAGGCCAGGCACGGTGGCTCACGCTTGTAACCCAGCACTTTGGGAGGCTAAGGTGGGCAGATCACTTGAGGTCAGCAGTTCAAGACCAGCCTGGCCAACATGGTGAAACCTCATCTCTACTAAAAATACAAAAACCTATCTGGGTGTGGTGGCACACACCTGTAGTCCCAGCTACTTGGGAGGCTGAGGCAGGAGAATCACTTGAACTTGGAAGGCGGAGGTTGCAGTGAGCCAAGATCACAGCACTGCACTCCAGTCTGGACAACAGAGCGAGACTCTGTCTCAAAAAAAAAAAAAAAAGAAAAGAAAAGGAGATGGCAGAGCTGTTAACCAAAACTGGGAACCCAGAAGGAACATGTTGTGGGACCAAGGCAGATCCTGGAGAGGCCAAGGAAGGGGCCTTCAGGTGGTGCTCCCAGGGTGGGTGCCACCAGTGTGTGTGCAGAACTTGGGGACATCTGGCCAGTGAAACAGACTGAAGGTCACCAGCCCACAGGTGGCAGCCGCGGCTGTGAGGCAAGTGAGATGGCTCAGGGAAGAGGAAGAGCAGGGGGCTTGACACTTTGGGGATGTTCATCCCAGAAAAATGCGCACACTGTGATCCTAGCATGAACACATGCACACTTGTGTATGCAGTGCCGGGGGTTCCTGGGGACCCCCAAACCCAGCCAGAGACCCAGATGAAGACACCCATGGTGCAGGGTAAGAGGAGCAGAGGGCAGGGCCTGAAGCATCATCACTGAGCAGGGAGAGAAATGACAGCCCAGAACAAGGGGAATGGCCAGGAGAATGCTGGTGGGGGAGCCCCCAGGCCTGCCCTCCCCACCCTGGGACCCACCTGGGAAGAGGCCTCTGAAGTGCCACAGCCCTAGAAGGCAACAGCGGAAAAATGTGGACGGGGGCAGGCAAGAAGCAGGGGTCTAGGACTTGGGAAGCAGGAACTGCAGGCACTGAGTAGCCCCACTCCCCTCACCCCGGCCTCCTCCCCCAAGTCCACACACAACCCCCCACCCCTGCCCCTGCCCCAACCACAAGTAGCCAGGCAGGGAGCAATGCCCACTGCCCCCTGTGGGGAGACTTGGAGCCAAGTCAGGGCTGGAGCTGGGGGAGGATGTGGCAGGGAAGATCGATGTAACCATGGCATCCAGCACCATCCCCTCCGCGGCAGCCTGAAGCCCAGCGCCGGTCATTACTGCGGGAGGAAGGAAGGGAGCCCTCCAGGGAGTGATGCTCTGTACCCTGGAAGCCTTTTCCTCCCCGCCAGCTCAGGGGCGGCTTCCTCTCCTGCCTCCCCCTATATGGGACCTGATGTCCCCCACGGCTCTAGGGACTTGCCCCATCCTGACCTGCCCCTCATCCTTGTCCTTGCCGTCAGAACACATGGCTGCCTCACTCCTCCCTTCCAGCCCCAAGCACCTGGGCTGTGGCAGGGGCTTGCTGACCACCCTTCTCCATGCCTTCCCCACAGCACACACTCAGTAAAGAACATGGGTAAAAGCTCAGGTTTTAGAGTGCAACAAATCTGGCTGAATCCCACCCGGCCACTAGCCAGCTGTGTGACCTTGGGCAAATTATTTAATCTCTCTGGGCTTCGGATTTCCCATCTGTAAAATGGAAACATCCCGCTGGCCAGAGGCGCATCTGCCAAATGCTGAGCAGGAAACAAGGCCAACACTGGGGAAGTGGCCCCATGCTCAGGGAAGACGCCTGGCCCCTCCCGCTGGGCCGGAGCCGGGGCCGGGGCCGGGGGCAGGGGCTGGGAGGGGGGACAGTACGGGGCCTGGCCAGGTCTCCCTGACTCCCAGAGCAGAGCGCCGCAGCCTGGAGACCGAGTCACCGGCAGTGCCCCCAGCCCCACCCCGCGCGGGGCGCCGTCCTCCTCCCTCCCTGGCCTTCCCCGCGGCTCTCTCGCCGGTCCGCAGCCGGCCGCCCCCGCCCGCCCAGCGCTATTATTAATTCATTAGGAGAAATCAGCCTGGAGCCCAGCCGTGCACTCAGCGCCTCCTCGCCTCCTCGTTAACCCGCCGGCCTTCGCCCTCCTAGGGGCCTCCCCCTCCG